CCAGTCGTTGAAGAAGAATATCGAGAAAGAAGCCGAAAGCCCTATTTAAGATGCATGTTCACGCGTAAGAATCACTTCAAAAATCACCAGCTGCGCATCTACCTCAACATCCCATTGGTAGGATTATAAAAAAAGCCGTAAAAACAACACCTCACCTGTTCTTTCTCAATTTTCAAATGTTTGTTATAAGTAACAACGGCAATTAGTTTTTTATTTTTTGTAAATATGAAAGCCTATAAATCAAAAATGACATGATTTTTTAGAAAACACGTAGCGCTTGTTTAATTTCAGCACCTTCGATACAGCAAGAAAAAGCAGACCGTAAATCGTACGTAAAGCGGGACAACAGATGCAAATGAAAAACCTCATATTTTACTCACAGTTTTGCTTTAGTGAATAAATCAATACATTACTCAATCGAAGCATCTTCGTGGCTTTGTTTTTCCCCGCCTAGTAACTTCGCCGAAACGTCTGAACTTATATCACAACAGAATTTAACAAACTTATAACAGTGGGTGCCTAACGCTTTACGCTTCAAATACAGGAAAGTTTGAAGTTTTACTTTATAACTTTGTACCTTATTAACTGAACTGGGGTTGCTCAGAACCGAAAGATCAGGGGGTTCAAGTCTCAATCGGATCCCTTGCCTTAATTCATCCGAGGTTCATAACTGAGTAATATCTTGCGAGAAAGAAACAGGAGACTACACATAACTGTGTCTGAAAAATAAGCCATTCCCAGCTGATCGTGTGTAAATGGAGATCAGCGCTAAAGTATTAATTTCATGAAAAAAGGGCGCCAGAAGTAGCCTCATCATGAAACTTAAAGGAAGACCGATATTCCCACAGTTATAAACTTTCACTTTTTACCTCGTCAATTTTTGAACTTCAAGCAGTCTGTTAAAAGATGCACATAAAATGAACGTTTTAATATATATGAAATAAAACGAGTACCTGAAATCGCAGTGCTTAAAAATGTGACGCTTGGCTGCTGTTTGTAAATCTTTTCCCTTTTAAAGTACTGGAGGAAGCAGCAAGGTCTGAGAGGTGATTACAAGGATTGCTTGTGGCCATTCAGGTTCACTGGCAAATTAAACATGCGCATTTTAAAATCCAGTCGTTTCACCTTAGATCACTGCTACTTTAAACATGAAACGTCAGTCAAGAGAGGGGTCATGGCAAGCAATTGATTCGTCTAAGTGCTGGTGCGCTGCAGGTAACTAAACCTAAGGCTGCCTTCGCACTGAATCTCAGTCAATCAATACACTATGACATCAGTGGCTTCCAAGTTTATACCAAGAAAATTTTAACTGGCATTTAAAACTCATAAAGTTATCTGATTTTGGATTCGCCTAAATCTAACAACTTGTTCTATTAACTTATGCAACAATCACCCATAAAGTTTCGCATCGCTCCCTTACGCACTTTTCATTACCGCCTGCTCGAATTCGTAATTTTGATGCCTTTCCAGCCAACGTCAATAAGCCATCCCATCGTTCAGCTTTAAATCGATGTGTTAATTACTTTTACTACTCATCTCGTTTAGCACAGGATAAATAAACAAAAAGGCGTTTAAATTGAACGGAAAAAGTACGAAAAGTAATGAACAGACCGAATTAAAACTTAACATTCCCACTGTTTAGTGACATTTCTTATCTTTACCTTAAGGATTTATCTTTGCTGCCTGCTCAAAACCGCGATCTTCATACCTTACCTTTCATGCTATTATACCATCACTCCGGTCAACAATCTTTTATTTCTCTTAACCGTTTGAGGTAATAAACATTTACCCTATTTCTATAAATGGCGTATACCTGGAAATGAGCCATGTGAGTGCGAAACGACTGGGTAATGAGTAATGGTGCTCCCCTGAGACAATAGGTTTTCAACAAGAACGATGCAAAACACCAAAGAAATTGCAGAATATTTTCCTGTCACTTCTCCGATTTTACATGATATAGTGTATCGTCCCCTTCCTACTAGTTACCTAGGCGACTGTTTAAGCAGGCCACGGCTCTGCAGCATTTTAAAAACTGCAGTTATCACCTTCCGTGCTAGATTTAGCAACACCAAAATCAAAAACAAATGACGTCATCCCCTTTTTTTACAAAGAAGAACTCAAAACAACATGACATAAAACATCATTTAATAATTAAAACTGCCCCAAACGGCAGTTTGAACATGCAAGAAGTTCAGATTTCGACTTACGCACGAGAGAAGCCGGATTTCATCGATCGCTGTTTCGGTGTAATGATCTGCACTTTTGACGATCTTCAACGCCACAAACCTGCGACACCTGAGAACGCAATATAAAGTTAATGGCACAAAGGCAAGGCAGCAATTTCTGTAAAATTATTGGTTTAATGAACAATAAAAAAAATATCTACCAAAAAAGTGTTCTTCCATTCAGACTTACTTGTTGTCCACGCAGAGCCAAACTGTCGAAAAGTGGCCCCATCCAATTTTGCGAACAACCATGTAGCGATTTTTAAAAGTGTCCCCGATGTTAACCGGATGATAGCCTCCTGAAAAAAAGATTAACATTCGATGTGACGTAATAAACAAAATAGATGTGGTTCGTCGCCTTTTTCAGCACTCACCACTGCGATAATCTTTAGGATCCTCCTGTTCGTCATCGTCGCTTCCTAGGATCTCCTCGTCCTCGTCGCAGAACGACTCCGAACACCCACCGTCGTCGAGGTCACCCGCGTCTGCATTGTCCGTTTGCGCCGAGAATTCCTCGCTGTTCGAATATTTTGCATTCGGTTCCCTTTTTGCTTTGTCACTGGGCCTAGACGCACAAAGCAGAACTTTTATGCTAAGGCGCATTTCGGTTCATTTAGAATTTTTCGTCCGGCATAAATACAAAGCGGTACAACAGCAACTGCTTTAAAAATGGAACACACATATGCAAAGCTGAGAACAACATACTTTAGGCCATCGACGTTCTTAACTTTCTTCTTGTTCTTATAGCGCTTTTTCTTCTTTTGAATAGCTAGTACTAAAACAGAACGCATTCTTTAGTTTATGCTTTCTGAAAGTTCTCAGAATTATCACAAATTCATAAAAGTCAGGAGTTCTGCAACGAAACCTGGATTCGGTTCAGCGAAAATCTGAAAACAGTTACGGAAATACGTACACCGCTCAGATTTTGTAGACGGACAGAGGATTCACTGTGCAATCGTGATAAGTAGCAAAAAACTTGCAATCTTACTTTTCTTTTCTTCCTTTGAGGCCATTCACCATTTGTACCACAAACCACCGGTCGTATTACCTGGATTTAATTTCAAAGAATATGTCTTACTGTATCTAGAAATGCAGGAACATTTTTTCATGTCATATGTTAGTGAGTCATTCAATCGGCGTATGGCATACTAACGGCATAAGTGCATCGCTCTGAAATCTTATTATAAAAAGCTAAGCATTTCAGCTCAGCACAATCTCTACAACATTTTTTGTTGTCGAATTTCTAGCACTTGGTAAATGGAGCAGATTTGGCGTCGAAATTGATTGTGAAACTTGATTTTCAGCTCACTCTCCGATTGAATCACAAACTCGTTATTTCTAGTTTACTGTCTTTTATACATTTTGCCCTAACATTTTACAGTAAAATCCAATGTCCTGCTGAAAAGAAAAAGAAAAGAAAAAGTGTGATACAGGGGCAAAGTGTCGCTGAATCTTCAGAACAGGTGACGTTAATGGTCCAAAACCATGTAGCACTTTCAATATTCAATCAATTGAATTAAATCAAAATCATGCAATCATTAGACTTTAAACTTATTACTAATTCATTAACTTTGGAATCGCTGCTCACTTTAAAGGTGTTTCGGCATTTCTCATTAAAGGTTAATACCGCCGTCAATGCTTTGTTGTATCCAGGTTGATGGGTAACATGCGTTTCGTGCATTGCAAATAAACAATGCCCTAGGATGGTCACATGGCAAGAGATACTGCTCTGGAAAATCAGACACTCTTTCTTTGTTTTATTGATACTGATATACTTACCATACCATTTTTTCCGTGAAAAACAGATTTCACAAGCAACTGCATCAGAAAAACCAGAAGAGGCTGACTTTCCAGCGGTTATGCGCATTCTTTATCGATTCCATGTAACCAGGTCAACTAGCAAGTATGAACGCTATTTTCCGGCTAAGCTTTACAATTTATTATAACCCTCGGCATTAGATGTTCTGTGATTAATGAACTCTGATAAATGAGGTACTATAATCACATTGTGCTCACAATATTACAAATGGGACTGAAAACTGAGTCTGGTTGATTCCCTACAAAAGCGAGCAGGAATTCAGTGCAAAACTTTATTTCTATATTTGCTGCAAATTCAGTCCCCCTGTGACTGAGACGACGACTTACTAAATTGATTATTATGTGCTTCACAAACTTTGTGCAAGTTCACAGGCTTCATAATTATTTACATTTATGACCACATGAAATCAACATGTGAATAATTTCGCTGTTCCCTGTCGTATCAAATATTGTTCCATGCATTTTTGACTAATCAGATCACTTTTTCTCCTGCGTCAGCAGTATCTCTTCTGTGACGAATCGTGGAAAATCTGCACGGTGTACAAACGTGCGTTTTGTGAAGGTCACAGGATATTCGTTGTTAGGATATTGATACATAAACGAAAACATTTGAATTTGGATCAGAATGTGCAGTATCAAACGGCCAACCTGCTCTTCGCAAATTTTTTGCTTTCTTGCATAATTAGCTCTGAGACATTTTTAAATAAAGTAATTAACGTTTCAGCAACAAATAGTTTAGGTGTAGATCAATCTGTTTTCGCATACTGATCAAAAATAGTAAAATAGTTCCGCCAACTTTTTTGGTTTAACGTACGCACGCTTCGTTATTTGCTGTCATGTGACCTATTTGCTGCTGCAAACACATAAATTTGAAATTAACGAAAACACAAAATGGGATACAACGGAAATAAGCTATGCCAATGGCATAAATTAGAATATTTTAAAAGCCTACGTTAATTGTAATTTTGTTGTTCAAAGACTACGAAGTTTGTAACGACAGTGAATTGTGAGAGAGTTATTTGCGTATCAAAGTCTCTAATCTCAGCATTTGCCGATGACTAAAGAACACGCTTTCGTCTTTATTTGCTTGTTGACAGAAAAATTGTTATGTAGGGAGCGAACGAATGAAAGAAGAAGCATCTTTCCTCAAACCTCTATAATTTCATTTCAGCCTCGTCAGGTGGTTTGTCTGCCTGGAGCTGCTTCCAATTGTGACCTTAAATAGATAGCAAATCCGTGTATGGTTCAGTGCAATCTGATCTGAAAAGATTTGAAGATTTTCTGATTCCACACTGAAAACGTTAGACGGCACTGAAAAGAGAGGATAGGAACGAAATGAACTGAGCGTTTATTAGCGACATTATATTGTCCCAATATTCGGCATTACTAATTTTATATCTGGTGTTAAAGATTCCATTCTAAAGTCAGGACAGTTAAATTAAAAATTTTTTCTCCGGTGAATTGTTGTAATATATTCAGAGGAAGTCAGAGCGGGTTGATCAACACTCGTTGCTGAGTCTAAAATTGTTCAAAACAGATATGACTGTGTAAGGATCATATACACGACTGCGAAAAACTGAATGGCCAAATTGTTGGAATCAACAGATTACGTTTAGGGGCTGATGCGTGCTTTGCATTATAGCCACCTTTCGCGACAACGACAAGCATTCACAATGATGGACGCGTAAGCTAATCGAAATCGCGGACCTAACGGAACAAACTCTCTCATTGTAGGTTAAGTGGTATGTTGCTGAATTGCTGCCTTCGTGAGAACACTACACTCAGTTATGAGTGCTCTAAATGCTGTTTCGAAAATGCCGCTTCGTGCTGATAACAGCGCTTCGCTCAAGAAATATTCTCGCTGTATGTCTGAGATCCTGTGCGCCTGCAACATTCCTCGACTGAGCGGATTTCGACTCAGTACACCGTCAGTCGCTGCGACGAATATTTGCGACATTATTGAGTGAGAAGATTACGGACTATTAACAGGACTATACGACGTTACTAAAGTGCTATCAGAGCAGAAGAGTTCCAGTCGGATTGGTTTAATATCAGGAGTGGAGTACGCCAAGTAGAGGAGTTTTGCAGCGATTATTAAACATGGTGGTGGATTATGTGATGCAGAAGAGCGTTGTTCCCAACAACAGCGATGGATTTGTTCTCAGACGACGACATAGCCAGAGGTAACTCAATGGGAGTCATAACAAACCTCGAGTACGTTATTACTGGCATTGTACAAATGAGTAACTTCGCGACCTAATCACACTGACTGTAGAGGTGTGCAAGTTGGTTTCGACGGTATGCATGGAAGTTAACATTCACCGAAATGAATGTCGCATGATTATCGCAGTACCCGATTCCATTACCGACCAAAAGATTCAGCGGAATGGAACGAACACGCAGAAGATGAAAACTTCAAGTACGTACCTCGGCTCTGTACTGGCAAGAGGTAGTAGCTGAAACAGGGAAGTAGAGCGTCGCGTAGGGATGACAACTGTGAATTTCGGGGACTTTTTAAATTGTGACGAGGCCGATCCATCGGAACAGCAACAAAGATCACCAAACTGAAAGCTGCCGGCTTCTCATTCTTGATGCGCAACCTCGAAACATCTATCGTTTTAAAGTGCCATGAAAAGAAGCTGGAGACTTCCGCAGCACTGCATTTGGTTCCATCGAATGAAGAATGTAAAAGATCTTGGAGATAGCTGGTCTGAGAATGCTGTTCGAAGAAGTCAATGGCCGACGTATTTCGTTATTTAACAGAACCGGAGAGAGAATGGAGATATATTCAAAACCGTTCTGCTCCATGAACCAAAAAAATGGCCGCAGACTCGTCGCAGGTTAGCATCGCATCCTAAAGTAGTTCCTAGGGTACGCCTGAGACGAGGAATATGACCTTTGTCGCAGCAACCAACACCGTCTAAATCATTCTGAGAAGTCAAAACGTCAGACATGATTATTTTGGGCACTCGGTTTTTGACCCTGATACCTCAGATGACGATAACAACAACGATATGCGTCTGCAAATGTAAATGTTTTATTAATCCGTTAAAACCAGAAAGAGAATGAACGATTTAAAGTCAAGCAGAAGTCCGGATATGACTGAAGCCGCAAAGAACACTAAAATCGCAGTTAATTGAATTTACTGCTAGGATTGCGTGTTGACCAATGTGGAGGAAGAGAAGTTTGACAGATCCTAAAATTCAGGAAATGGCCAAAACATTGTCGAACAGCCAAGACTAGTTTGTAAAACGTTTTTTAAAGTATTACGACTGCAATCAGCTGGAAGTGCTTTACGATCGACAAATACCTTGAGCAGCAGCATTGACTGTGGCTTTCTCAGCAGAGGAATTCTGGGCATTACACTTGCTTACTTGCTTACATGCTTTTGTAGACATTCCATGCATAACGAAAGCTGCTCAGTCGGTAGAGTTTCGACTTATCAAGAACGTTTACGTTGAAACCGCCATCGTGTCGATTATCTTTCATTTTTTCCGAGGTACGTGAAAGGGTGCCGCTTGGACATCAGGTGGCAGGGAACAATGCGCTGTGGTGACCACCTGACCACCAAGATTTAGGCATAGCGTATAAAAGTTGAAAGCAACAAGGCAATCTCAGATAATCATAGAGCAACAAAGAATAGCCCTTTCCGCGAAGACAGAGTTCCGTAAACGGCTCTGTTATTGAAGCACATGAGCGACTGACGTCCCGGCAGCTACGAACTTTCCTTACTTTTCCTGTTATACATGCAACTGAGCGCAAGCACACAATCATACGAACTGTACAGTCAAGACTCTTTTCTCTTGTTGTCAGTTCTCATTACAACTGTAGCGGAATAATGATACATATAGATGGATATGAGACGTGAAAATGAAGTTACATACGGTTCATATGAATATATCATTGCACTACATAAATGACAAACCGAGACACGTCAGCTGAATTCCCTGCACAGGCCGGTATTCAGCGAGGAACCGTCGTGGCCGCATCAACACTTTGTGTTGTCATAGTGTATGAAGCCTTGCTACCTGCTAGCTGGGTTGGCGATGGCGTGGAAAATGTCGCACGGAGGGAACACATAATTCCCTCCGCTTTTCATCTAAGTTTTCCCCTGTAACCTCTGACGAACCGACCTGTTGCCACAAAGCAGAGGTGACACTGACGGCCTTTTTTCTTCAAAAGGGTGGCTCTATTTCATGTGAATATGACACTATTGTCGGACATTGCCACCTTTTCGAGGTAACAGACTTGCCGAGCTCGAACTTTGGTGGCCCTCACTGCTCGACTACACATTTGTAGCAGTTAATCTCCTCCATATCTGGAAGTCGTTCGTCTTTTCCGCAACCTGGGCAAGCGCCAGATGATCAGCAGCTAGGTCACAGCTACAAGCGGCCCGTTCCGACTCTGTGACACGGTTTATGCGTCTTATGTACAACGTGAGTCGGCGATCAGAACCTGCTCATTGCCCTCTGCCAGCCGGGGGCGTGGCAGCACAACGACGGCTGACGA